GCTAAAAATTTAAGTTATGCCTATATTTTTCTTTAGCTAAAACATGACATTACTATGTAAACTAGTGCTGTTCATAAGACAGCATGGATAACTATTCTCAGAGCTCAACTGTAACAAAAGAGGCATTACTAACTGAAAAAGTAACTCAGAGACATGAGAAAGAAGAGAAATTCAATTTTCAGCTTAAGTGACCTAAACCCACTCTACAAAGACAGAGGACATAAAAAATATTTGAAGGTCAAACCTATGATGGTCAAATGTTTGAAGCGAAACTTTAAAGGTCAAACGTTTAAAGGTCAAACATTTGAAGGTCAAACGAGCAACTACAGTCAACTATCGTTATCTCGACATCGCTTTTCTCGATATTTCGTTATTTCGATGAAATTTTGAAAGTCCCGATTTTCTTCCTTCTTTATCTATATTGGAAATATTTGTTAATCTCGATATTTTTATTTCGATATTTTTAGTATCTCGATGTAAAATTTCAGCCCCAACAGTTATTTTCACACTATTATCCTTTGTTTATCTCGACTAATAGTTTTCTTTCATCTGTTCCCTTAAGACGTGTGAAAAACACGAACTAGACGATAATTGCTCAATTGCGCGTGTCATAATGATGATTATGTTTGTAACAAGTTAAGCTGTTTTTATAAAAGTTAATCTATTAAGCGAGTTGATTGACTTACGTCCAAAATGAGTGAATTTCACGTTCTTTATTAATATTCGAACAATGTATGAATTCATTATGACTTTAAATGTAAATGAAATAGTGAAAGTTTAGAAACACAATCGTTGCAAAATTGTTTTAAAACATCCCCACCAAATCAATCAGTGGTTGAACAATCTCGAGAAAGACTAGATAAATAACCAGGGAGGATATCCGGATCAACCACCCCTGAAAACATTGTTTTTCACCATATCGATGTATTACTGAGTAAAACCTCACTATATGTGTTTATCACAACACAAGTTTTTCGCTGGTAAACATCCGCTATTGTTACTTTGTTAAATATTGACTAGGCCTATGAAAACAAGACAGTGGAAATCATAGTTTATTTGACATAAGGTATGCACATGTCTTTTGTAAAATCAGTTTCTGCCGTATTCCAACCCTAATATGTTTATCTCGACATTTCGTTATCTCGATATTTTTTGGTCGGTCCCGATGACTTCGAGATAACGAGAGTCGACTGTATCTATAATAACTTTATATAAGACCAATATTAATTTCCGGGGAACAAAGCTATAGAGATCTTGCTGAATTTCTTAAATGAACTTTTCCAGTCTTCATTTTTGAACTGTCCATTATCAATGAAAATTTGAACTTGGTCAGTAGACAATATAAAGCCTGGCCCTATATTGATTGAAAAGGGCTAATCATGTTTGCTTCCAGCAGGTTAAGGTTGCCCTTTTCAATTTAATTATAGATATGAAAAAAAAGAAAGAGACCCCAATTCATTACAGCTATATCCACTTTAACTTTTCAATAAGATTATTTAATGAAATATCTATTCATTGTATATTTCTAATTTATCACAAGTCTCTAAATTTTCTGAACAAGGATTGGTCCCATGATTCCTGAGCCATATTTTGGTCACAGAATTCAAATCATTTGCAACTCAAAACTGTCAGTTAAATCATATACAGGCAGATATATTTTATTCTGTTATGTGAAGAAGTTTGTGGTTTCCTGAAATAATGCATATAGCTTTCTTTCATCAGTCAGGCCGTAAAACTGACATTTTGACCTTTACAATAATTGAGTAAGACTTTACTTTTTTTTAATTAATCCAATCATAATACTAAATGATTAAAATCACTAACAACTTGAATACCAGAAATTATAACAGCAGTTATACTTAACAAACAATGAATAAATATCTGAGCCACAACATGACAAAACCAACAAAATGCGTTTGCGACCAGCCTGGATTCAGACCAGCCTGCGCCTCCGGGCAGCCTGATCAGGATCCATGCTGTTCGTTTACCAACTCTATTACAAGTAGAGAAACTGAGATCGAACAGCATGGATCCTGATCAGACTGCGCGGATGCGCAGGCTGGTCTGGATCCATGCTGGTCGCAAACGCACTACGTTGGTTTTGTCGTGACATGGCTCAACTATTTAATTTCTGATTTCCTAGTGGTACTAATAATATTCAGGAAATAAAGTTACTATTTTCAAGTGATATCAAGCTTAAAAACATTAGAGCACCACATGCAGTTTTAATGCTCATCCGTAATGATTTTAAACTAAAAAGGGGCATAACTCCAAAAACATTACTTACAGATTATGCCTCTTCAGTCTTGTCTAACATTAGTGCACATTGTCATAAAAAGTATTGAGAATTCCAAGTTTGATTGTTTTCGAAATCTTTGAATAATGGGCTACATTAAAGTTTTTGCATGGCAACAATGAGGCCTCTGACAACAACAACAACACAATTATATCATGATAATAAAAGCTTGACTTTTATTCAAAATAGACAAATTATTAAGCTAATCGATCTTGCATTGTGTCTTTAGCTTGCCTAAATCAATTGGGCGGAAAAACCTTCAATTTCTTTAAATGAAGGGAGCTTATATTCAAAAAACCAAAAAAAGTTAAAAAAAAGTATGTAAATGTTGTCTAAGCTTGAATATTACCTATGTTAAAAAACTTCCTTGTAGCAGCGACAGTTGTTTATACCAAATCATAAGTATTCATGTAAAACAACCTTATTTATGAAGCTGTAATGTGTTAATATCCCCTAAATATCTTAAATGGACTTGTCCATCTCTTTTTCTGAACAAAACCATTCATCATTTTTAGGGAAAATTTTAAAATATGTACTGACTGAATAGCAAACAGTGTAGACTCACGGTGTTGCATATTTTGTGGCCAGACTGCCGCAGGCTTAGTGTAAAGTACATGTATAAAGTATAAAGATAAAGTCAAAATCTGTAACAGTACTCTTCTTTAGCATAACAAGAAAATTCTTTCTTTAGCTTAATAATTAAAAGGTCAAAACCTCTTTTTTAATTAGCATATAAATAAGTCAAGGGCCATAAATAGCAACCCTTAAACCATGTGTAATACTGATGATAATGGTTATATTTTGTGAGATAATCATGCACAGAGTATCATATATATTTATACAAATAGATTTTATCTGGAACTCGGCAAATGTGGGTTTTTCCCAGCTGACAGCTGATCCGTAGGTACAAACTATAACCTTTACCATTATAGCTTCCGCTGCACAAAAGATAAAGGCCTCAACAGACGGTAGGATTTTGAAGTACAACACCAATTAAAACTAAGATGTACAGACAAATCTTAATGTGTGAAGGGTACTATTTCTTGATTTCGGAAACCTTATGTCAAGATGTAAGGGATAGGACATGTTCTATTTTGAAAATCTTGTCCTACCGATTTTTATAGACCTCCCACAATGACAAGTAACAGATAACCAAATTATCTCCTGATAATGGGTGTAATGAATGAAATTCCAGAACAATTAGGGCTAAAAGGTAAACATAGTAGTAAGATGAGGTAAAAATGATGTTGAAAAACTCTTCAGGAGACCCAAAGTTGTGTTATGTTCGAATCCCAAATTATCCCGAAAATGATTATGTCACGGTATTGAATTGTTCTCTAATTAGGGGAGGTAGTTTGTAGGCGACCAGATAGCTTAGTCAGCAGAGCCGCAGTACGGTATTCCGAGGGTCCTAGGTTTGAGTCTTGGTCAGGCTTCACATTAAAAATATATATATATATATATTTTTTTAAATGGAGGTTTTTCAATCATTACTCATGGCGAAAAAAGTATTTAGTGAGTAAAAGTATGTAAAGGATGTTAAGTGGTCCTTTTTAGGGGAAACCTCAGATGATTCTTACAGTGTAGAATTACCCTCTATATGCAAGTGTTATATAGCTTTGAAAATTGTACATTTTATCTCTAATTAGTGCTGTACAGCTAAATCCTACTGTCTGTTGAGGCCTTAAGTCAACCTGTTTCACTTATTTCCAAAGCTGTAACTGTATTACTAACAAATTAGCTGGGAGTAAAGCTATTGGTGTCAGACAGTATAATAGTAATTCTATTACATTTTAATCAATGTTTACAATCAATAATTTGTGTACCATAGGGAAATGTCAGGTAAACTGCAATTAAAGATGCATTCCTCTATAACAGGTATCATATATTAATATATATGTTAATATAACTACCTGTCTATAACAATGTAATAAAAACAAATTATCTGACAAATGCAGGATAAAAAAAGTTCCTTCTTTTACCGAACCCAAAGTGATTAGCCTGATTGAACATAACTGCTTGAACTCAACAAGAACTGTCACAGGAGACAGCGAAAATCGACTAATAAAATACTTGACGCAGTAAGGAGGACAAAACTATGAAAGAAAAATCAATTAAATATAATTATGTATTAAGTTATAGTAAAAAAATAACATTGTTAACATAAATTCCAAGATCAAGGGGAATAATTTTAGAAATAGTCATGCTAGAGTTATGAACCTTGTCACACAACATGTGTGTAATGATAAGAAATATATATTTGAAGTTTGAAGTAGATACCTTAAAAAGTAAAGAAGTTATATTTCTTAAAGAAAATCCTAAGTTCAAAGAAAGATAAATCTGTAAATATTGCTTCAAGAGTTATGAACATTGTCACATGAAATGAAATTGATGATAAGGAATAAGTATTTGAAGTTTGAGGTATATACCTTTAAAACTATATAAATAACACATGGGTTTATGGGTAACAGTAAAAATATCATCCCGAGGAAAATACTGTTACCCGAGGCGTAAAATATCATCCCAAGGAAAATACTGTTACCCGAGGTGTAGCCGAGGGATGATATTTTTAATGTTACTCACAAACCCATGTGTTATTTATTTTATTACCCCGAACAAAAATACTGCGATGATCTGAAATTATCAACTAAATCTAACTGTAACAAAAATAAACCAAGAGTAACAATAACTAAACTGTCCTTACCTTTTAAGTTTTAAGTGTACTTTAGGCCTACTGGTAGACTTCTACTTGAGAAGTTCTCTTTTTCTTTTATTCTTTATGCAAGTGATAATATCTACAAATCATAAACATCAATAGGTCTATATAGATTTAATAAAATAATGACAGATTCCCCTGTGGCTGTGGTTATGATCTGTGAAATCTGATGCTTCTGTTTCCAGAATATTCTAAGCATAGTTTTTGACAAAATAACGATCATATCCTATGTCTGTCCACCATATCAGTAAGGTCTCACTGATTAAAATTGTTATCCTTTGTTGCATGCTTAAATCGTCTGCATGTTCCAGTTTGACACATTTAATTATTTACATTGCAAGTACTTCCGTTGAAAACGGATGTTCACTTTTTGACTATTCAACAAAAAGATATTCTATACACGAAAAGCACACCAGGGCACAGGTGCTTTAAAGTTAAATACTTTTCAAGATAATCAGCAGAAACCATTTTGACATTTAATGCCCCTGTGACCTTGACCTTAGACCTAGTGACCCCAAAATCAATAGAGGTCATCTTCTTGTTATGATCAATCACTATGTGAAATATGAAGACTTTGTGATGAATTCTTTTCAAGATAATCAGTGGAAACCATTCTGACATTTAAGGCTCCTGTGACCTTGACCTTTGACCTAATGACCCAAAAATCAATAGGGGTCATCTACTAGTTGTGACCAATCATTATATGAAATATGACGACTTTATAATCAAAACTTTTCAAGATAATCAGCAGAAACCATTTTGACATTTAAGACCCCTGTGACCTTGACCTTTGACCTAGTGACCCCAAAATCAATAGGGTTCATCTACTAGTTGTGACCAATCATTATATGAAATATGACGACTTTATAATCAAAACTTTTCAAGATAATCAGCAGAAACCATTTTGACATTTAAGACCCCTGTGACATCGAACTTTGACCTAGTGACCCCAAAATCAATAGGGATCATCTACTAGTTATGACCAATCACTATGTGAAATATGAAGACTTTGTGATAAATACTTTTTAAGATAATCAGCGGAAACCATGTGGTCTACCGACGGACCGACATACAGACAGACAGACCGACATTAGCAAAACAATATACCCCCTCTTCTTCGAAGGGGGTATAATAACTCCGAGAGGCCTATGGGAAATTAGCATTACGAAAAAAGTGAGGGGTAATAAAATTAACTGATAACAAGTTTGCAACCTGGGGTGGATAATTTGTAATAATAATCAACCTGCTCAATGGGTATAAGTCTATATATCTTATGAAATAATTTTATAAAATTTATCAACAGTAAAATTATATTGATTCCATTATGATATGGTTGATTCCCAAAGAAGTTGTAACATAGAATTACTCTGTTATTTAACACACATGAATAATGTACATATATTGTCCAACAACATTGACCTGGCACTTTTGCATTTGACCCTGTACAGTAGTCGGTATATTCCGCAGTAAACGTTACGATCTACTTGTAAATCGATATGAATGTAAATATCCAATTGTTAAAATGGTGTAAATTGAAAATCCCTCTTAGCGCAGTTGGTAAAGAGTTTTCACATGAAGAATGTAGACGTAGACTGGTAGGTTCGGATCCTATTTCACCAAATTATTTTTAATTTTAATTTTGAAACTGCCATTCTCTGAAACTATTGAAAACCTTTTTATTGTGTGTACTATCTATGTAGTATTTTTATGCCCCCCTTCGAAGAAGAGGGGGTATATTGTTTTGCTAATGTCGGTCTGTCTGTCTGTCTGTCTGTCGGTCCGTCGGTAGACCACATGGTTTCCGCTGATTATCTTGAAAAGTATTTATCACAAAGTCTTCATATTTCACATAGTGATTGGTCATAACTAGTAAGATGATCCTTATTGATTTTGGGGTCACTAGAGTCAATGGTCAAGGTCACAAAAGCCCTTAAATGTCAAATGGTTTCCGCTGATTATCTTAAAAAAGTATTATCACAAAAGTCTTCATATTTCAACACAGTGATTGGCATAAAACTAGGAAGATGACCCCTTTTTGATTTGGGTCAATTTGGGCAAGGTCACAAGGGCCTTTAAATGTCAAAAGGTTTCCGCTGATTATCTTAAAAGTATGTATCACAAAGTCTTTCATATTTCACACAGTGATTGGTCATGACTAGTAGATGATCCCTATTGAATTTTGGGTTCACTAGGTTTCAAAAAGGTCAAGGGTCACCAAAAGCCTTAAATGTACAAAATGGCTTTCCGCTGTTTTTCTTAAAAAGTAATGTTCACAAAGTCTTCATATTTCACATAGTGATTGGTCATGACGAGTAGAAAATTTAATCCCTATTAATTTTGGGGGTCACTGGTTTAAAGGTCAAGGTCACAGGGGCCTTAAAAATGTCAAAATGGTTTCCGCTGATTATCTTGGGAAAGAAGTATGATCAAAAGTCTTAATATTGCACATATGATTGGTCATGACTAGTAGATAAATCCCTATTGATTTTGGTGTCACAAGGTCAAAGGCGGAGGTTTACAGGGAACCTTAAAATATCAAAATGGTTTCCGTGATTATCTTAAAAGTATTTATCAAAAGTCTTCATAATTACATATGATTGGTTTCATGACTTGTAGGAAATTGTTGGGGGGTGGAAACCCCCTAGATTTGATTTTGGGGGTCACTAGGTCAAAGGTCAAGGAACAGGGACCTTAAATGTCAAATGGTTTCCGCTATTATCTTAAAAAAAGTATGGTATTCACAAAGTCTTCAAGCATTTCACACAGTTGATTGGTATAATAGTAAGAGGACCCTATTGATTTTGGGGTCACTAGGTAAAAGGTCAATTCACATGGGCTTTAAATGTCAAAATCTTGTTTCGCTGATTATCTTGAAAAGTATGTATCACAAAAAGTCTTCATATTTGACCACAGTTGATTGGGTCATGACTAGTTAATGACCCCTATTGATTTTGGGGTCACTAGGTCAAAGGTCAAGGTCGCAGGGCCTTAAATGTCAAAATGGTTTCGCTGATTATCCTTGAAAAGTATGTATCACAAAGTCTTCATATTTCACATAGTGATTGGTCATTCACTAGTAGATGACCCCTATTGATTTTGGGGTCACTAGGTCAAAGGTCAAGGTCACAGGGACCTTAAAATGTCAAAATGATTTTCGGCTGATTATCTTGAAAAGTTTATTTATCACAAAAGTTCTTCATATTTCACATATTGATTGATCATAATTAGTAAGATGACCCTATTGAATTTTTGGGGTCACTAGGTCAAAGGTCAAGGTCAAAGGGGCCTTAAATTGTCAAAAGGGTTTCCGGCTGATTATCTTGAAAAAAAAGTATTCATCACAAAGTCTTCATATTTCACCTAGTTATTGGTCATTAAGTAGTAGATGACCTCTATTGATTTAGGGTCATTAGTCAAAGTCACATGGCCTTAAATGTCAAAATGGTTTCCGTTGTGATTTTTCCATAATTGAACACTTCCATGGTACCCATTTTTTGGCAAGTTTCTGGTAATAAAATTACTAAATTATGTGAGTCAGTGGCTAGAAAGGGGGGTATATGTGTCGTTCGACATTCTTGTTAATAACTGCCTTTCAAGTGTGCATGCGCTGAAGCATATACGATTGCATAATGTCACAAAAAGAACCGTTTTGAAAGATACTGTAATGAAATAAAAGACATAATTGTGCATAAAAACACCACTTAAAAGGTATTCTAAAACCAGGTGTACTAAAGCATTTTCAAATTAATTTTTGCAATTAAATTTTTAAAAAAATCATAACCTGGTGTTGGTTAGGTATCGAACCAGAGACCTTTACATCGGAAGTCCAACACATATACCAACATACACCACACCTCAGTGACAAGTGAAGTTAGCAAATATATTGATAAATTCGATAGGTAATGGTCAATGTTTATTCATAAGACCTTTCCGAAAATTTTGGAACAAAATATTATTTTGTAATTTCAAGTAGGTTTTTTTCTGTTTTGCACTGATTTTTTGTGCACTTAAAGGTTAGTGTTCATTAGTAAGCATTTACAAAATTAAAATTGGTCAAGAATGGCACAGAAAGGTGTCAAAATGACAACTAACTAATTCAGCAATTGAAATTATTTTTATAAACAATTATTGATTTATTAGACTGATTAACAGTTTGCCAATTTATTAAAGTAATATTGTAATGTTTCATTTAAAATACTGTAATTCTATTGGACACAAAAATAATTCCAAACACTTGTCCTCCGTTTTAGAATTCATGTCCATTAACAATGAACTGTTCTAAAAATCAGAGCATGCTTGCAGTCTGTAAAAAAAATGGAAAAATGGATAAAAAATAAAACGAAAGATTATATAATATTTAATACATTCAATTTATTGTTAGTTATACATCAAATACAATCACATTGTCTACAATATTTGTACTCATAAATTCATTATGAATAGAAAATGTAAAATTATACTACCACAGTAACTATCTATATATCACAGTACTTATAATCTTAACCCTAATCTTGATAAATGGACCAGTCCAGCTTCCATTTTTGGAACTGTCCATTATCAGTTATAGGAAAATCAAGATAAAAATTTGAAGTCTGCCAACATTATAATTATAGAGCCTGGTCAGGTTGAGGGAAATCTGGCCCGAGTGTCTGCATGCATGAAGCAGAGGCCACTTACTTTTGGTTCCTGCATTCTTAAAAGGGACAAGCATTTACCTTTTACGCATTTTAAATTAAAGAAATAATGGAAAAACCTTTATGGTTACCTTTCCCCACCTCCAAATACTTTAAGGTAATCCAAGTGAATCAGTTAATTATCTAACCAAATAGTCATATTTTCAACCAATCAAGTAATCTTTATTATCCTTAACCTGCTGGAATGATACAGACATTTATTTACCTTGCTTTGAAATTTGAAAGTGCCCATTTAAAATTGGTATAATTTTAATATCAAAATATATCAATTAAACTATCACTAGTATAAAGCCTGGTCGGACTGCATAAATGTGGTGTTGGTAGTATTCACAGAGCACAGTTCAGCCTCCGCACTGTTCCTGGGCAGGCTGTCTAGCAGTTTAGGGACTGAAACTTCAGTACTTGTACTTGCCAGAGCAGAGGTACAGTGCGGTTAACCATAGAAAAGATTTCATAATCAATCACAATGAAAGTGATCTGCACCATCCCGGAATCAAATTCAAATCACTGATTCACAGTCAAATGTTCTACCTATTGAGCTAACCAGACGGTCAACTCTACAAATGTGTATGCTGCCCCTGGCCATGCTTTATACTGGAGGCAAAGACTAAACACTTTCTGACATACCAGCAGT